ATATATATAGTAGAAAATTAAAGTTATCCCATTCTCATTCTTCTTTTAAATTTTCCTGTGCATTTCAATATGTATAATATATATTTTAAAAAATAAATAGAATTATACCATAATACTTGAAGTCTACTTTTTACACATGGCTATTTTTAAAACTTGCTATTTTTTAAAATAAGGCACAGGTAGGAAGTTGGAGTGGAGTTGGAAGGAGAGAGGTGGGTAAGATTCATAAATTAAGGTTATAAACCTACACAGACACAGACAATAATGTGAAGGCCAGGGGTGAGGGATGAGGGGAAGGAGAATATCTGTAATAGTGTTAATGCTAAAAAAAGATGATAAACCTAATGCCCTAGGATGATTATTACCTATGGGCAAAAATCGTTTTGAGTACTTTTTATTTGTGCCTAATGCCTTAGAGATGATCATTATTATTTTTAAAACTTTAAAAAATGTTAACCAATTTAAAATGACAACATTGTTTTCTGTCCTACACAAGTAATTTAGGAGGCATCATTTTCAGAATTAAATTCTACTAGGTTATTTTGGTAGCTAGTTATGAAGAGATGTGGTTTCAGATAAATTTTTTTTAACTGGTAGTCTCTCTTCTGGGTTGTTAGGAGTCATTAATTCAATATTTATAAATTAAAATAGGGTTTTAAAACTAAGAAAAACTAATGTTTTAAATAATAGGAACACAAACCAATACTGCTTAAGCAGCATACAGATACCCTGCATAGGAATTAGGCCTGGTACTCACATCTTAATGTGTTAACGTTGGCTATACCCCCCACCCCTATCCTTACTCAACCATCACCAAATGCTATACTGGTAAACCAGCATTTTATTTATTTTTTAAAAATATATTTTTATTGATTTTTCTTTTTAGAGAGGAAGGGAGAGGGATAGAGAGATAGAAACATCAATGATGAGAGAGAATCATTGATTGGCTGCCCGCTCCCTACTGGGGATCGAGCCCGCAACCCAGGCATGTGCCCTTGGCCGGAATAGAACCGGGACCCTTCAGTCCGCAGGCTGACACTCTACTGAGCCAAACCAACTAGGGCTAAACCAGCATTTTAAAAAGCATTTTTTAAAAAAAAACACAAGGTAAATTAATTGGATGTGCCAGTAATTTATCGAGTGCCAGTGATGTTTTTTTTTCTGGAATTATATACAAGACACACTCAAGGCCTTATTTAACTACATTAAATATAATGTCCTGATTCTGGCTTTGAGAGTTTTAACTTGTTAGTAAGGTTATTATAATTCACCTTTATAATTTTTAAATTAAATTTATTTCATAGGTAGTAAGTTTTTATTATAGAAGTTTTTGTTTGTTTTTTTAAAAAGGTCTTTCTAATACTAGAAATGCACTCTCTGTATCAATGGTGCTTTATGCTTCTTTAGACCTAAATTCAGTTCAAGTGCTAAAGCCTGTCCTTGAAATTCTAAGAATGGGGTCTGATAGGGCATAGCAGTTTATTTAAACTCTAGTATAGCCAAAGTTTTAACAAGCCAAATTAAGAGTATTTCTCATTGATAGCATTCATATGCATTTGCCATTTTGTGTGGCTCAGACCATGCCATAGGCCTACAGTATTTTATTATTTCTTGTAATAGTCTTATAAGTGTGTATAAAGGGCTCAAACAATTGATATCATGGATAGCAAAACTGAGGCGAAGACAGGAATTAGAGTAAGTTAGTGTCAGAGCCTAATTTTCCTGACTCTTAGTTTCGGGCTTCTTAATCTGTAGTCTCCAAACTTTTAAAAATTATGGCCAGTGAAATGTGTATTTATATATAATTTTCTGAACCTAGTGTTTTATGTCTGTTATAAAAGGCACAGAAAAGGTGAAATTTAAAAAAGGATGAGATTTAAAAATGTAAGTTGTGATAATTTTTCCCCATGGCTGCCATCCTTCCCCAGGATGGGTGCACCCCCTTCGAGACCAGTGCTCTGGATGGGCCATTCTCCCACAGAAGAGGAAGCCATAGGGACATCTGGAGGACAGTCGGTATAAGGTGTGGGGCTTTTAAGTTGGAGTGATCTTTTGCAGCTTTTTAATTTTAAAGAAACAGCCTTCCTTTCTGAGAAAGGCTGGAAGATGGAGAGTAAAGGCCTTGAGAGAGGTGAGCTTAAAAGACAGAAATATAAGCCTTATTTGTTTCCTTCAGAGTTGACCAAAGGGAAAAGGCTGCCCACCCTGACAGCTCCTACTCCCACTATGGAGAGCCTTTTCTGTTGTTGTTAGGCAGTTTATAGAACGCAGGATAGCTTGGTAAGCGTCTTCTCTGTGCCTGATATGACGTAACATTGTGGAGTATGCAGCATGCATGTTAAATACAACTGGTTGTATTTGGCTTTTTGCTGCAGCGTTTTTTGAGGATGCCTTAAAAAGCAATTACCACTAGATAGAGTTGGATCTGTGAAAATTATTGAAATCATCATTTCATGGAGACCAAACTTTGTAACTTAAATTATTCTATTTCATATTTGTTTACTTTTCTTTCTTCCCCCTCCCCCAGCCCTTCAGTACCTCAGAGCAAAGAATTCTTTTTCTGAAAGGAACAGATGCTGCTAACTTATCAGGACCCAATACTAAAAAGCCTACAAAAATCTTTGTGCTGCCTATTTTCTTTATTTCATCTATATGCAAAGCATATTGTAATTATTGCTGTTAGAGGGTTTTAAGCTGATGGTTCCTCCCCACCCATTTTGTGCTCAGGGGAGATAGATTAGGAAAGCCAAATGGACAAGATGGTATAAAGAAATAATGACCACTGAAATAAAACAGTAGTTCAAATAATAAGCAAACCAGATACAATGTAGAATGAAAATATCTTTTAGTAAAATGTTAGCATGCTGTACTTGGAACAGATGCCACATTAATTCAAAAGAGAGCCCAGAAAATGTGGCAACTTTACGATGTCAATGGAGGGAGCTGCAATAGTTCCTGTTCTCATTGTGTCAGGTTCTCAGTACTTCCAGGTCCGGTCCTGTCCTAGATACTTGTTTTCTCTATATGTTACATATTAATATACAAATATTAAGTCCATGCATAATATTTTGTTTATGTAATTAAACACATTGTCATATTTATAGACATTAGGGTAAAAAGCCCAATAACTTAATAATGTAAGAGTAATGATTCTTGTGATAAATATGCATATCAAGATATGTAGAGTTGGAGGCAAAAAGTGGGCTTTTCTCTGCACCCTTAAAGGGACATTTATGATAATGAGCTAGTCTAAGAATTGAGTCTTTCAAAGAGGCCTAGTGGGTTTTGAATGTAGAATTTGGACAAGTTGCAAAACTATGAGAATTTTGCATTTTTTTCTCATTTAAATTTGTAGTTATCATTGGACATTTGTTATGATTTTTAAGTAGCTTTGATTCATTCATTCCTTTTGTGGTATTTTTTATCGTGTTGGAAAGGAGAGAAAGGGTTCTACATACACTTGGATACTTCCAGAGTGACATTTATTTTATAGAAGATTGTGCTGGGACATCACTGAATTGCCCGTATCTTTCATTGCATGGTTGGTGTGGGTCTGAGTGTAGAGAGAGATGGGCTGGGGGCTCTTAACCAGATTTACAGTGTGTGACTTCCTGAACAGTGTAGTGATCTAATCACCAGGGGCATATCCTGTAAAGAAGTCTGGTGCGCATGCTTAGAAAAGCGCTACCGTTTTCTCTCAATTAGTCAAAGTACAAAGGCTTATAATTTTTTAAAATATATTTTATTGATTTTTTACAGAGAGGAAGGGAGAGAGATAGAGAGTCAGAAACATCGATGAGAGAGAAACATCGATCAACTGCC